ATCCCTCACTCTACTTAGCTTCTCATGATCTAAAAAGTTCAAATTAACCAATAAGTCGCACAATGAATACTTTTACACAACATCTTATTCCAATGATGATCAATTATCTCGATATAAGGCTTATATAATTCTTTATTTTTCTTAAACAATTCCATAACCCCTTTCCTTGCCCAATGCATTCTCCCATAAATACAACCCAGTGCAGATGAAAGATTTTTCATCTGAATCGCATAAACGCAAAAGCCTTAACAAATGAGTCATAACTTTCATTTTAATCAAAAAATTCCTCCAAAACGTTCAGTTCAAGAGCATTTGTTTATATCCAAACGAATTTCCCATTTTCAACATCTTCTTAAACTTGTTAGACATGACCATAGCTTGTAAATTATGGCCATACAAACTTTTCAATGCAATGATCGCAGAACCAAAACGAGTAGCACATAGATGGATGATTTTTGTCCAATCACGTTTTTTCCTTAACCAATTCAAGGGTTAGTTATGATCATAAATTAAAACAGTGACCAGATTTTTCACATTCTCCAATTCTTAAACATCATTTAATACAAAATTAAGAAATGTGTTGCACATTGAGGCCAAGAAATAAAACTATATCTTTTACATAATAAATTACCAACAAGCTTGTAATTACCAGCATTGTTAGTAACAATTTGAACAATATTCTTTGTTTCTACCATTTTAACAATCTTGGAAAACAAATTACACAAATAAGAAGCATTGCTCTCTATATTTGATACATCAGCATATTTGGACAATCAACCAATAAATTAATCAAATGTCATTGCTTAATATCCCTTGGCAATCAGTCATAATCGTGCAACCACTTTCAATCCATTGACTTCTATATGAATCAATAATAGTGAAACTGACTACTTAGCATCTTGACAACAAATTAACCCTCAAAGCATTATAATTAGGTGCTTTGTAACCATAACGAAATCCTGCTATTTTATCTTCTATATGTTGAAAATAAGGAGAGTTATAATCATTCATAGGTACACGTGTCATTGAACCACATTGCAATAACTAAATCCACATCATGTAATTTTTCCTTACTTTGCATGGCAAATTTAATTGTGGGTTGAGAATGATCATTTATACACTTTGTGAAGAAAGGATGCAAACGTGATGTAGCTTTCCTTTTTCCTTTTTTTAACAAACCGTTCTTCGACATTTTGCAATTGCAAGGAATGTTTTCTCCGACTCTCCCTCGTCATCTAAGATATTAACACTAATTGTGTCACCACCATTGGCTTTATCTTTTTTCCTTTTGGGTTGTTTCTATCAAAATACATTGCATAGTAAACGGACTTCCGGAGTTACTATTTACATGATGTTATCTCACCACTAACACCTTTTGCCAAAAATTACACATTTGTCTTTTTTCCTTATCAACATCTAGAGTTGCATATGCTGATGATTTATCCATATTCGTTCTTACATTTGATTGAACGGGAGAATGATTGAGTTGCATATGCTCATGATTTATCCGTCTTTGTTCTTCATTTAACTATGCAAGATATTTTTTTAAAAAATGGCCCATAAGGAAAAAAATTAAGCTAATGGTGGTGACATAAATAGTTTTTAAGACGATGAAGAGTCGGAGGAAACATAACTATGAAATGTCAAAGAACAATTTGTTTAAAAAGGAAAAGTACATCAAATTTGCATCCTTTCTTATTGTCAAACTTACGATTAAATCTATAATGCAAAGTAAGGAAAAATTACATGATGTAGATTTAACTATTGTTAAATGGTTTTATAATACATGTGCGCCTATGAATGCTTGTAATTGCTCTTATTTTCAACATATGGTGGATAAAATAGTGGGATTTGGTTATAGTTACAAAGCATCTAATAATCGTGCTTCGAGGGTCAATTTGTTGATAGATGCTAAGAAGTCAGTTTTACTATTACTGATTTGTATAGTAGCCAATGGATTGAAAGTGGTTGCACGATTATGAGTGATAGGTGGAGGGAGATATTGGGCAACGACATTTGATTAAATTATTGGTTTATTATCCCAAATGGATTCGTTTCTTAAATATGTTGATGTATCAGATATAAAGAGCAATGCTTCAAATTTGTAATTTGTAGAACGTTGTTCAA